AAAAAAAATGTTTAGCCTTCTAATATTCAATCAAATCTCCACTTACGGGCATTGCCCATACTAGCTAATACTGTAACGAGTTTTACTAAATAGTAGATTATAGGTAACGTCAACTTTTATGAAAATGCTTTTAAAATAATTTCAATGTACATTCTTAGCCGAGAATCCACAGTTATAATTGTATAAATAATAATTATATAAATGTTTTTATAGTATTTTATTTTAATAATAATTTATTTCAAGTAAAATCATAATAAACTATTAATACAATTTGTATAGTAGATAGTACCTAATTCTAACTATAACAAACTTGTAAACCTGGTTTTTAGAAAAATGTTGAATGTAAAAACATTTATTTGTCAATTTTTCTAAAAAATTTAAATTATTATTAATAAATTTATTATTATTATTAATTTGTTATTAAATAATTATTAATTATTTTTCAAACAAAATTAAAACCTCATATTAAATTATTTATTTTCAATATTAAAAATTTTTATCAAAAACTTTATACTACACAACATGTAGTGTAAATTTCAATAAATTACAAATTAAAAAATATTAATTAAAACAAAAGTTATTTACTTTGTCGGGTCTTTCTGTTACTGGACTTTTTTGTATTATTTATTTTCGATAGTTTCAAAAAGCTATACAAATATCTCGTCAACTCATGAGRAACTTATGTATTATATTTTTAAGCTTTCTTACATCACTGACAAAGAGAAAACATTGTACCTTCAAAAATTTAAAAAAATAATTATTTAATTTCTAATAGCTTAAAAATGGCTGACATATTATTTTTAAGATCACAATTTTGTTACGTAATAACATATTTATATAAATACTCAGTGATAATCTATATTTCACAAAAAACAAAATTTATCTTATCTAAAAGACTAAAATTGCAGATGTTACGTATAAATATTACCGTTTACCCGCCGTTAATGTTTTTTAAATATAAGTTTGAGGAATTCCTTACTTTTTACCTCATCTCCAACAATCTACCAAGTAGAAAAATTGTTTATTAGAAACTGCATTAAATCACCTTCAATAACGTTGAAAATAAACAATATTTTTGCTGTTCCAGAGTTTCGTCAAATAACAAAATACCCTGTAAGCCCGATGTTCCTCACATCGCTCAGA